ATTCACTTGAGCCCAGGAGTTAGAGGTTGCTGTGAGCTGTGATGCTACAGCACTCTACCTAGGGGGACAGCTTGAGGCTCTGTCTCAAAAAAAAAAAAGAAGAAGAAATAAAGCAGTCATTCTTTACTGATAATATGATGATATGAAAAGGAAATTTAATATACTCTACATTAATAGTTAAAATCAGCAAGATTTTTATCAAAATTTATGGGTTCAATTATGTTACAGAAATAAAATTTACACTAGAAAAAAGAGATAAGTAATAGCTCTTTAAAAAAATGTATGTACAAAAGCATTTTTAAAATATCAAGTATCTAAGAACTGCTCTAACAAAAGCTGTACAACATTTCCATGGAGAAATTTTTAAAACTTATCTTTATTAGAGAAGACCTAAATAAAATTAAGACACATACCAGATTCATAGCCAAAAAGAGCCAAAACACTTTTAAAAAACACAGAGGAAGGGTGTGTTCTATCAAATATGGACTTGTTACTAAGTGTTAATTAAGACAGTTTATTAATTGGTCAGAAATAAACTTAACAGTGTACTAGAACAGTGTAGCAGCCCAAACAGGCCTCTGGCCAGAGCAGTGGCTGAGACCACCAGGGAGAGGCTTTTCTGTAAGGGTGCTAAGACAACTGGTTTGAAAAAAATTCGTATTTGAAAACCCTACTTCACACCATATTAAAAAAACAACAAGGCATCTCCAGTGGTCAGAAGACAAGTGGCTGGAGATGTGTGAGTGGAGAGCTTCACCTCCTGGGAAACTAAAGGGCTTTTTGGAACATCATAAAAATGAGGGGTAACCAACCACAAAATGTATTTTATGTATCTGACTACATAAAATCAGCAACTTTTGTTTCTTGATTTCACCGCTGGGTGAGTAAGTCAAGCCCAAGGTCTAGGCTGAGAAAGGAGCCAGTAAAGCCTGGTGCTGAGAAAGAACCAACACGTGGAGCGGGTGTATAACCACAGACTGCCCGGGAGGGAGGAGGGTCCCCAAGGCCTCAGGAGAGGACGTGTGAACACCAACACACAGGCACAGCTGTTCACTCACATCAGTCTGGGAAATGAAGAGACTGCAAAGAGAAACCAGCTCTGAGGACAGGGCAGTCTCTGCACTGACACTGGAAGGGAATGCGGTGCGGCCACTCTGAAAAACAGTTTGCATCACTAGTAAATCTGCAAATGGCACAGTCAGGTAATGCAGCTCCCAGACAGCTCACACAGGCGCCTGTGTGCAGAATACGCACACGCTCATGAGTCTCAGCAGCAACACCACTTGCAACAGTGAATGAACCGGGAACAACCCCAAGTCCAACAGCAGCAGATGGATCAAGACGCTCAGACAAGTCAGAGACAAGCTGCAGGAAGACACTGGCGGCACAGCACAGTGAGCCTGGCATACAGCGACGTCCGCTGACATAAAAAGAAAACACCCATCTGCTTTCAGCAGTAAACCAGTAAAACAGGAAAAACTGAATTATAGCTGACACTCGGACAACACTCTGAACTGCACCAACCCACTTATTGCACATTTTTTCAATAAAAACAGGTGGTCCTCCACATCCGAGGATTCTGCGTCTGTAACCAAGTGCGGATCAAAAATACAGCATCTGTGGAGGTGAACCTGGCACACACAGCTGACTCCTCTTTTAACTCATTTTAACAGGGCCATCTACAGAGAGGGCTCTGACCCCATTCCCCCAGGGATGCTGAGGACCCAGCCAGGGACAACTGCATGTAACTATGGACACAGCTTCAGGTGGCAAAGCTCTTAAGAAAAGTGAGAAAAGTTAAAAGAAGCATTCCACAATGTATACAATTTACCAAAATACCACACTGGGTCTCATAAACATGTACAATTATTGCCAATTAAAGGTAAATACCCCCCAAATTTCAAAATAAAACAATCCTTAAAGACTACTGAAGCAGCCCATGCAACAAAAATAATATTTGAATGAAAAATAAACTATTTATTACAAAATTTTTAAAAGGCAAAATTAGTGATTATGTCAAAAGAAATGAAATAAATTATGATAAAGAAGATACAGAGGCTGCTGGATGGCATTCTATTTCTTAACTTGGGTAATATTTAATGAGTATTCATTTTATAAAAAATGACTAATATGTATTTTCAGTTTTACATACTTTGACATTTCTGTATCTCTGCTATATTTCACAATAAAAATGTTAAAATATTTTCTGGGAAATATTTTAGTAAGTAAAATTATGATATAAATGATTAAAGTTTATTTTCACAAACAAAAGCACTGCTACATTTTGGCCACTGTATATTAATTTCTGGACCTCTGCCACATTACTAAATGAATGTTTAAGTTGTTCTGAAATTGGTTTAGCCCAACATTTAGCAACTAATACGTGAAATGGTTAAGAGTCACTTATGAAAAGTGAATGAGAAACTACAATTTTATAAAAATGAAACAAAACACAAGCAGTCCAAGTGTGACTTAAATTAAGATAAACACTTGGGCGATGCTACATGCTGCCCCAGAGCAGCCCCAGAGCCTCACTCCAGAAAATACCAACAAGCATTGATAGTAAGGCAAGAAACGGGATGGATAAAGACTTACAAATAAAACATATATTTTTTCTAAGCCAAAATAAAACTGGCACTGTAATTCATGCTGTGATTAATAATAGATTTACACAGAAAACTACAAAGGGAAACACCATAAGCACATGTCCCAGCCTTACCCTGAGACGCAGGTAGAATGCCAGTACTTGGGGCGAGGCCCCAGGACCAACATGTAGGTCACTGCCACACGTGCAACTTGGCAGGGATCAGAGATGGTATTATAAAAGGGAGATTAATCCTTTCCAATGTCCTTACAATCTGGGAAAGACGCTAATGCTTCATCACAGAACTTTCTCCTGTTGTTTCCCTGGGTAACCTTAGGTGCCTCATAATTTTTAGAGTTCTAAAGAGTGAACCAGAGAAAGGACCACCTGATCCAAAATGACCGTGTGGCCCTCTAGCCGGCCTTCCCTGCTCCTTGCACTATTGGCACAACCAAAGCAACAAAGCTTGGAGTTTAATATAAAACTAGTGAAGAGAGATCATGCTTAATCATGGCCAGTAACTAAAAACTTACTAACATAAAGACTTATGATAGAAAAAATGTTTTTATAAAACAAACAAACTTTTTGGCTTCTGTGGAGGGGACTCAGTTGTGCAGGGAATAGTCATTTCTCTTTCCATGGGGAACGAGCAGGAAAGGGAGGAAGCCAGGCAGTCTGAGGGAGAAAGCCAGAGTGCATCCTGCACGAGGCTGGGTGCACAGCATTCTTCAGGAGGCCACAGGCAGGTGCTCAAGTATTCACTGCTCTGAATGCTTAAGCAAAGCAGGTCCAAGCACCATGAGTTGCACTATCCAAGTTGCACTATCTGCTATCCACCACCTGCTCCTCTGTGGGAGGCTCAACTGCCCACAGGAAGTGAGACAAGGACACGCCCTCTCGTGACACTTCACTACTGACCGACAGGCAGTGAGGAGACATTCCCAAATATCAGTGAGCTGAGCTGTCATCAGAAGCAAAACAACTGCTGGGAAGTGTGTGGCACCCTAACCTTTCCTTACTCCATGTTGGGAAGAGCAGGTGACTAGCATTTTGTTAAAAACGACTTTATGTAGTATACACATTAGTTTCCTAGGGCTGTCATAACTAGGTGGCTTAAAGTGACAGAATTTTATTTTCTTCCAGTTCTGGAAGCCAGACGGTGGGTCCAGTGGGTCCGCTCTGCTACTGTCACTGGCCATCAGGCAGCACCCACAGCCTGGAGTGTGCCTGAGTGTAGACACATCCTCACACCTGCTGCCCTGAGGCACCTTCCGAGTTGTGTTTCTGGCCCTTCTCTCACCATTAGACTTAGGGTCTGCTCTAATTGAGGATGATCTCATCTTGAGGTCGCATGCACAGGTTTCGGGTGGGCATATGTTCTGAGGGCCATCAATGAAACCACTACAATCTGTTTTCCACCTCCCCCCAAATTTACATCTGCCCCATATGCAGAATATATTCACACTATCCCGTATTCCAAAGGCCTCAACCTATTACAACATCAAACACTACACCTAAAAAAAAAATCTCATCTAAATCTCATCAGCTGAAAAGTCCTAGATCTCATCACCTAAACCATTTGGGTCAAGGATGGGTGAGAATCTGGGTATGGCCCATCCTGTGCAAATTCCTCACCACCTATAGACCTGTGAAAGCAGGAGACCTGCCACCCACTCCCAAGAGACAACAGCAGGACAGAGACAGACACCTCTGTTCCAAATGGGAGAAACAGGGCCAGATAAAGGGATCCTTCTACACGGTTTCATTTTATTCCATGTTACAAAAAGTGGTTGTGTTATTCTAGATTCACAGTTTACACACAATCATTTAGTTTTAGTTCATTCCTGTGAAAATTTGCAATCATATGTATCAAGAATATCATTGATAAAGTAACATTTTTGCAAATATTTTTAAATGGTTTTGTGTTTACGTTGTAAATATTAGTCTTTAAATTAAATAGGCACCTATTATTAACTATAACTCAATCATTAGTTATGATATGGGTTATCATTTTGAAAAATATTTCATATTAAAATACTGCATCTTCAGATATTTTACCTAACAAATGTGACAACTCTAAACTGCCAATGACTGTGCAGGGCCCAAGGTGCTGGATCAAAAGCCCAATAAATGCAAGTTATTTTGTTAGATTCAGGTTCAGGTTTTATCAGAAAATATCTTCCAAGTGTTGAAGATTTCATTATCAATACATTCATATAGGGAAAAGAATTAGATCTTGAGATCATTCAACCAAAATTGATTATGTCTCTCCCAAACCCTGTTTCCTCAAGAAGATTCCTTGAGATTCCTAGCTCCTACCCACTTAGCTTTGTTTGGATAATTTCCTTCACATTGAGAAAGATAAATCTTCATCAAGGAAACCAGAAATTTGTGTTGTTTTAGTTTTTAAACCTACCTTATGGGAATAATGTAGGAAAAGAGAAGAAGGAACCGAAAAAGATTGCGATACCACGGGCCTACAAATCCTTGTAAGGTTACCATGACAACTGAGAGAGCAACTAATGCCAAAAATAGCGCCTTCGTCAGCTGGTTGAGTTCAAGATCCAACAGACCAACCTGGAAAAGAAAAAAAAAATACAATTAGCACACGTATAAACTAAACACAATGTCTTTAATACTATAAATTAGAATACATAATGATAATGATGACCTAAGAAAAAGCTTACAGAGTTTTCTTATATTAGCCTTGATTATAATGAAATGCAAGAATGTATTAACTTTACTCTTTTCCTACAAAACTTCTTACAGATTCAGATGGAATTTCTGGAAATGAGCCATGAACACCCAGAGCATTTCCAGAAAGGGTGTGTTGACAAAACAGGAGGAGGCCAGAGCAGAGAGACCTCACTTTTGACAGCCCTCAGGGTGCAGGGTGTGAAGTCGCTTCCCAGTACTGAGATGGGAAGCTCGCCCAGAGCCCAGCCCGGCACGGCACTTGTGAGAGCACTCATGTTTCTGACCATGCAATGCCCCACAGACCCCCCATGTGAGGGCTTTATTCAGACCGAGGTGCTCCAAGAACAGGATAGTATATATGTCTGCCCTACCTACTAAGGGGCTCTCTAAAGTAACTTCTCTTGATGAAGAGGAAAAGAAATAGAGCAGTCAGCTTATAACAAAGGCCTTTTAACTCTGCACAAATCCCACACTTCAAGTTTCCTGTTAAGTGCAGGGCACTCATACACACCCTGTGCATCACCCACTAGCTGAGCAAGTGTGAGGAAACCGTGTTCTAGCTCATGCGTGTGCTCTGTATAGGATCTTGGAGACAGTGAGAACTTTACAGTTTAACCTCAACTGTTCTCATTCTATAAGAAAATGGCTCTTCTGAATCACATAACTTCAATTTCAAACTCTCCTAATCTCTGGACATGAAAGCTTCTCTTTACTGAGTTTTGTCCCTGAAAGGCACAGCAATACCGCATGGAATGGGGTGACAGGCAGGGGCGTGGGCACTACAGGAGGCTGCAGACCCAGATGGAGGGGACTCTCAATCCAGCTAATATAGATGCTATCGCTTTGTGGCATAATATTGGGTGGGCGCAGCCTCGACTTCCTCATCTGGGAGCTGGACAGTGTCCCCTGGCAAGACTATGGGACCAGTCCTCGGCCCCTGCTAGGCACAGCCCCAAATGTTTGCTACCTCTGTTCTTACTATAAATGTGGGTGTAAAGGCCATTCTCTGCCCGCTGCCGTGAGACTCTCTGCATGAGCAGTGGTGCCACCCACACAACGAGGTACCTGGGGAGCTCGGGGTGCAGGGCAAGGCCATCGCCTTCAGCATGTAACTTCACTGTTTATTCCCGATTCACACGACATCAATAGAAGACTAAACCCTACCAGGTTAGTGCTTTACCTACAGCCTAAACTTCTCTAGAATCCTCAATCTGGTACAACTTTTGACAAGGAGTACTTATAGAAAATATGACTGGCAAAAACCCTGATTTAAAAAAAAAGTTGAGAATTACTGAGCTAATAAATAACTTGATTTTATAGAGCCTTTTGAAAATCCCTAATTTTGGCCAGTAGAAGGCTAGCCTTTTCCCATAATTAATATGTTCAATTGAAATACGGTTTTGATTAATATTTGCCACAAACTAACATGAGATCATTAGAACCTGTCATCATACAGAAAAAAATAAAACTTTGTCAGAATGTCCATTAAGCACAGCTGTGAAGAAAACTCAACTAATTAAACATATTTAAATGTCTACTACATTGTGTGCTAAATTCCAAGGTTATGAAAATGAGTTAATTATAAGACTTTATTTGTAAGAGTAGCCAATCGAGTAGGATACGAGATACATTATTAAAAAAATCATAAAAGAGAACATTTTCTTTTCTAACCAGGCTTACATTTTAAATCTATGGTCCTCAACCCTGGGAACTGTTAGGAGCCCAGCCACACAGCATCACCACCTGAGCTGGGCCTTCTGTCCATCCCTCTCCCCACTTGTTCCTCAGCTCTGTGGAAAAACTGTTTCTCATGCAACTGGACAAAAAGGTTGGGGACCACTGTTTTAAATCACTGCTTGTAGCAGACAGTCAGCACTACTGCTGGTTAACACTTTCAGAACAGCGTGGACTCAAAAGGACGAGACCAGGAGCCCAGAGCAGTAGGTTCTAATTCCAAACCCAAGAGAGCAGCAGGACAGGTAGGTAGGCAGCCCCCCACATCTGTGCAGGTGGGCAGCCCCCAGGTCTGTCCTGACAGACAGCCCCCAACATCTGTCCAGGTAGACAGACACCCCCCCCCCCGGTTTGTCCTGGTGGGCACCCCTCCATCTGTCCAGGTAGGCAGCCCCATCTGTCCTGGTAGGCAGCCCCCCACATCTATCCTGATAGACAGCCCCACATCTCTGTGCAGGAGGTCAGCCCCCCGTGTCTGTCCCGGTAGGCAGCACCCCGCCACGTCTGTCCTGATAGGCAGCCCCACATCTCTGTGCAGGTGGGTGGCCCCCCCCACCACGTCTGTCCTGCTTTCTGCAATGTGGTCTCACTTGATCACTGCCTTATGCAAGATTCCTAAATAAGAAAATTTAACCAAAAACCTAAGCACCAGTTTAATACGGAATAGCTGCTCATACACGTGGCCACAGAAACTCTTCTTTCTCTAAGTCGCAATACAGCAACTGGAAGAGCAGTTCATTTCAACAGAGGCTCTTCAAAGCCTGACGTTCCCAACTCCATGCCCTCCTCACAACACACCGCTCACTAATTCACGTCAGCAGATCCTCTGCTGACCAGATTAGGGTGTGTGGGAAACCCGTGTCCACAAGAACACCCCCGAGCTCCTCTCACCAGTAAAACGTGCCCTTTCCTCAGATGACAGGCTGTCTGAAAAGGAACTATATTTAGCTAGTTCTGAAAATCCCCCACATTGCTGCCGAGGGTGGGCTGAACCTTCCCTTGAGAACAGGCAGCTGAAGACCACAGCCGCTGATTTATCAGCTCCATTTAAAAGCAGCACAACCAGGACAGATATCGTGCAATTTCCGCTACTTCAACTGCTACATAGTTTATGCTTGAATTATTGAGAAAAATAGGTTTTTGGATTAAAATGAAGAAAAATTAAGCCAGGGAAGTAGAGCATGTTTCAAAGCCCAGCTCCTTTTCCTGTGACAAAGGCGGTCTAAGTTTCAGGCCTCGCTGAGGATCAGATGAAGTCATTATTCACTCAGTCAGGGAAAAAAGACTCAATTACCTCAACCTAAAGATGCTATCAATGAATGCAAAGTGCATATTTTACTCTATTCATCCAAATCCCATTAAAAAGTGAAAGGAATGATTTAATCTGGCCTTCCAGAGTTGGTCTTTTTTTGTAATAAAATAAAGAATCACTGTCTCGCAAAATGCATAACCACTACCTCACACTTTCCCTAGCATCATAGCAGTGAAAGACGGTAAAACCCAGAACAAAAACACTAAGAAATGAATACAAAGTTTCCTTTGAAAAAATGCCACATATAGGATGGAAACATTAAAAGCAACCCACTGCATACTGATATGTGGATAATTCAAAGCATTAACACCTTTCTAACTGTCGAAGACAGATGTGGTCAATTGCTTGCCTAGTGACTATAACAGTTGTGAAGTCTTCTCCAAACTCCTTTTAATTTAAAGAAGAGCAGTGAAAATTTAGCAGAGTGAGGCGCAACTTTTCAATGACGGGCACCCTTTCAGGCAGCCTTTTCTGAAGTGTGACTCTTCCCCCTGAAACGCAGCTAGAGCTACACGGAGTGCAGGCCCCGTGTGTGGCCAACTCTAACAAAACAGTAAGAAGAAAAGAGATCTCAACTTAAAAAAAAAAAATCCACTTTCAATTAATAATTAATCTTTTTATAACTGATTTCTCTGAAACACCCTTAAAAGTTTCCCCAGTTCATCTAAAATACAATCTGGACTCTTAAAAGCTACTTAACATAAAAATTTAGTAAACTTACAAAGTTTCAGATTCTATAAAGACAGTGGTAACTTTTGTTTTGATGTGAATTTCTTTTTTCTTTAAAAAATTTCTTAACATAACCTGGACAGACCAGACAACTTCTGCTATGATTACAAATCTGTTCACCCATAAAATATATTATTAATCACTTGAAGTAATTATGACTGTATAAGGAAAGGTAAATTGAGTACACTGCAAAGTCATTTTCAACATTCATTGTAATTTCCTATATTAGAAAGCAAATTTTCTTCTACTTGTCATAATATTTGTTTTATTTGAAACAACTGTGATAACAAAATTAAATACGCTACTGGAAATTTTAATCTCCAAGGGAAAATTTGTGCATAAATGTCTGAGACAGCCACAAAGGCTCTGCAGAGGGCTGTTCTAGGATAATGAACACAATAATTGCCTGTATAATCTGAAATGCTACTAATGGCAACAATCACAAATCCATTTAGCTCCTCTTTAATTTATGTACCAAGTTTTAAATAGCTAATGGTTCTCAGTAAAATAATGGTTTATACCAACAATAAAGGGTAAATATGGTATTCTCCTGCTTAATCAAGAAAAGATCAGCCAGGTTTTTTTAAATGAATGCACGGGTACGTGAGAGTCGGACCTTATCTCCATAACAGAGCACCAATCCAACTCCCTGCAAAGTTACAACTGCCATCACACCACCCAGGTCCTGAGAGATCAGCGCACACACACCACAAAAGCATAGTGTTATAAAATCGTAGGCCCTGCCAATGGCGAGACACAGTATGGGCAGCACTGAGTGCTGGCGGCTTACTCTGGATTAGCAGGATATAAACATCAAAATACTTTACCATATTTTAAAGCTCACGTATACTCACTACATGAAGTACTTTAGGACAGCAAAGTAATAAAATGCAAAATTTCAGAGAGCTGATTTAAATTCTTGCAAAAAGTTAAATGTTATTTTAACTTGTTCTGTATTTTCCCTGTGAATAAAGAATAACTTGAAAAAGAGAAAAGCCCCAAATTCATTCAGCACTACTCCACAGAGGTAGTCACACACGAAAAATCACTTGAGATCACTAGCAGTCTTACTGATCATCTCTCAGCTAAACTATTTGTGGGTCAG